AGAGAGAGGGAGGGAGTGTGTGAGATAGCTTCTAGTCTTCCCTTCCCCTAGCATGTGTGGTTCATTCCATGGGCTTCAGCCTCAAAACAGCCGAATGACGGACTAATTCTTCTGGGTCAATATCTCGGTAAGGTACCTTTTCATGTTCCATATTTTGAAATACCAGGCAATCAAAATAACGTTTAAGTTGCAATTTTGCTGTCTGGTCTTGGCTCTGTCTCTGGCGGGGTTAGATTCTACATCGGTTCTACAGTTTATTGTTTTCACAATTTTCTTAGATCAATGTGTGCAACTGTCTTTTTTCAAAACCAATTTAAATAATGCGTAAATAGAACGTTAGTTACAGACTGAATGTCTCATTTCAAAAGCTGAAATATTAGTATTCATATTAAAATATTAATGTAACAGTCCAAGAAGTGTTGCATTGTTTCATACAATTATGTATCTCTCGGTCTAAAGCTTCAGAGATTTTGTTTAGGTGTAGGTAAAGCATTTAATGATTGGGTAGGACGTCATGAATGCAATTCTTACATTCTTTCTAGTCTTTCTAGTGCTACTAGTGTGACAAACATTGATACAGGTGCCGACAGAGATTATGTGAACCTTTAGGATCAATTGGCTACTGACCGTGCGCAGTTTCGAATGTCAGTGCCCCCCCAAAATATTTCCAAACAGTTTTTTTAGTCTTGTCTTACACTTTGAGACTCTTTTTTTCAAAACTTCAGAAACAACTGCACCCACCATGGCTTCTGATTTTACAGACCTGGGGCCCATTGGAAACAGACCAGGTAAGATATTGGGAATGTGTAATTTTAGGCACGGCCACTGATGAAATTTGGATAAATTTGTTCACTTTTTGTAAAAATACAAATTTGTAAATCTTTATTTATCCCTTTCTTTTACTCTTTTGGGTACTAGGAAAAACTTTCGTAAGTTTAGAGTGTCATTGGACAACTATCATTTGGAAGTAGAACATGACCAACTGATATAATTTAATGCAAATGAGGATTTATCTGCATAATCAATGAGAAACATTATTTATCAGTAATAAAGGTTAGCATTTTTGGAAAAGGGATGTGCTCATGAAACGTGTCAGCAAAATTAATTTTCTTTGATCTACTTCCTAAAATGTTAATTTTATTTCACTTGTTCTGATCACAGAAAGTAGTGCACGTCCTCAATATTTACAGATGGCTTCTAACAGTTGTTTCTTAAACAGCTCCACCAACGCGATCAGATGAGGGAAAACAACAACAAAGAGGTAATTAACCATAATCAAACCTGTCATTGAGAAGAAAAAAATTACGTATGCTTCATGGCAATAACGGTCGTACTCGAGTGCAGGTGTGGACAGATTTTCACACTTGGCAGAGCAGAGCTTGTATAATGTATGATCAGCGCTGTCCATATGTTTATTAGTATATTTATGGAGTTTGAAAACATTGTTTTGTTCCCATTTCTTAACGTAATCTCCGAGAGGTCAGACCAGTGACAAAAAATAAGCAAAAAGTATCGCTCCTGGTGACAAACTCGTAAATCCATCCACGCTTTTAATTTTTTTCTATTTTTTTGTCTTTGTTCTTATTTTTGTCTGCTATGTTGGTCTTTTGTGAAGCACCAAACATTGACTGAAATCTCATTCAATTGTACAGAAACTCTGAGAATCAAGGCTCCGGATGGACTTGAAGTTGTAGAGACAGACAATAGAAGTGTCAAGTTACGATGGAATCAACTCAGTTCGAATACAGACCAGCACCCTGCTGGCTATGAGCTTGTCGGCTACCGCCTGGAACAACGTATACCGTTCGGATCTCCGCAGCTGTCAGAATGGATCTCTGCACATGGACAGAATGAAGTGATAGAACCAACAACAGAGTTCAGAGTTGTTGACCTGACACCTTATCAGCGATACCAGATTTGTGTGAGATCAGCTCTACTCAACAGTGAGGGTGATGATGTCCTCAGTGAGAGATCTGTGCGGGTTCATGTTTTGACGAGAAAGCAATGTAAGTCTATATAATTTTATTTCATTAATTTATGTTTAAAAAATTCACAAACGTGCTTCTTTGGAATAGTTGGAAGACTTACACAAAGCAATTAAATTTTTGACATGGATGACATCCTCCACAGACTCCAGTCCAAATCTAAGGCCATGTTGATTTGATTATATGGATGACATCCGCGCGCGCATGAATTTTCGGCCGTTTCCACAAAAAAAAGTTTCCAACTACACTGTAAATTGTACAAAACAGTTGCAAAATGAGCAAATATATACCGAAAGTTGCAAAAAAAATATTTGAAAACGATTCCAACGTCGTAGAATGCCAAAATCAAACAAAAAACTAAAATGCATAGAAATGAATTTAAAGAGTAGATTATTCGCCATACCATACTCTGTGTCATTTGTTCGACCTTCATAACAACGTAGATTTCATGAAAGCAACTTTTTTTTTTGCAAAACTTTTTTTTTATTCGCGCGCTCGCATCAGTTTTGGGGTTCCCAGAGGATGTCATCCATATAATCAAATCAACATGGCCTAATGGGTGAAAAAAAGGCAGGCAAAAGATAAGGAAACTACATTATAAAATTTTTAGGTCAGAAAACATATCACAACCAACAGATCTTTTATTCTTGTATTGAGGAGAATTACCTGCCCATGACATTGAGATGTATACACCTGTACATGTGTATACATCTTGATTAACTATGATAGTAAGATTAGAAAAGCATTTTTCTNTAGAAAAATGCTTTTCTAATCTTACTATCATGGGAGCTATATGATTCAAACACCTCAGACTGTCAACACTTAATAAGCCAGATCCAGATCTAGCTTGATCCAAAAGTGCTGGTGTGAATGAGTTCTGATTTATTGTTGTCAATTATCAGATCAGCCATACCGACCAAGAAGTGTCCGGTTGGACGACACCCACGGGTCCCGCAAACTAACCTGGACGGAGCCAAAACCTGCAGAAGATGTCAGTCCAGAATCCTACCAGTATGTTGTTGAGTCGAGCCTACATGTTGCTGACAACATTGAAAATGCATGGATGGAATGCAGCGTAACAACACAACATGAGTGGATAGTCAGTGTGGAACAAAGTGGAGACTACCGATTCCGTGTGTCAACTAACAATACGGAAAAGAATGTCCACAGCCTTCCACAAGAAATGGGTAAAGCTATCATTCATTATTAATTTTTTGTCTTACATGTAGATCTGTCACTATGTACCTACCTTGTGACCATAACAGGAGATGTACATTGTATTGCTATGTTGAAGAGTCATTCAATGGTGTTTCCAATTCATATCATGCTATTTTACAGAACACCCAAGGATTTACATCCGCATTGAAACACCGGCCCAGGTGAGGTTAGAATTTAGGTTCACTGAAGTACAGTGGCGTTTCCCTGGTCAATACGAAGGACAGTATCCTGGGAGCATCATCTTTGTCATCTCCTGTCATGACCTCAGCAGTCTCCGTGAACTGTGGATGAACTACAGGCTGGGGAAAGTGAAGAAGTTCATCCAGTACCTGTTAGCTCGACATAACGAACTTGACACAGAACTTGAAGTTAAGATCGAGGAGAAAGATTTCTACGCCTCCCGCCGACATCTCCTGCTGACCAGGCCTACCGATAGGGGGTTCCGAGTGGCGAGACTTGGAGATGCTCCACCCAGAGGTGAGCGTTTCAGTTCAGTTCACACTAATCGTCAGTGTTTGTTACACCTGACAGATTTAATATGTTGCTTTAGGCTGCCTAATAGAGGGAAACTAGAGTGCAGTGATCTCATACCTTGGTCAATTTTCAAAGTTGTCTCGTACGGATATAATTGTATAGTTTAAATTGCATATTTTTGGTATGATGATGTTAACGTGCTAATGATATGAATTATCATTGGTGATTGTCTCCAACCAAATTACATGTGTGTCTCAGGTCCTAATACTTAGCATAGAAAGCAAAGGTAAAGAAAGAGGGATTAACAATGTTTCAAAAGACATGCCATCTTCATCTACAAATGCCCTCTTTATCAAAAATTTGTTAAATTCATAATACATCCTTACATTTTACCAAACATACAAATAGGTAGGTTTTAGAAAACCTTACCTTCAGAAGTTGAATAAACTATCAATCTTTCTTCAATGTTCATCATATTTACCCCATCACCAGGCACAGGGCTGGGCCTTAGTGAGGATTTCCCCGTCTACTGCAGGCCGACATCTCACAGGACAACCTGCTCTCAGCTGGACTTTCTGGACCCTGCAGTTCCCAACAAGCAGCTTCACGGTAGGTAACAGTTGTTCCACGATATCATACCTTCACTAAATGATGTTAATCTTTATGACTGACAAAGTAAAGATTATTCCTCCTGATTATGCATATAGGATCCTCATTTGCATAAATTATATCAGTTGATCATATTCTCTACCAAAAGACAGCATTATCTTAACAAAGAAAGCCATTCTATCATGTCCTCATAAATTATGCAAATGAGGTCCTTGTTAGTTAGTGTTGGAAATTAAAGCTTAGTCTTTATTTCATAATCTCATGATGCTTTCTTTCTTCCTTTGAGATAGAAATAATTGCCTATCACTAATACTGTTGCAATTTGAACAAAAGTCCACATTTTAAGAACACAAACCCGAAGTTGTAACCGTTACAGAGTTTGCAGTGGGAGAAGGTTTATCATGCCGACAAAATCATCTACACAAACAAAAGGGTACCCACAAGTTGATCAGTGACTTTACCATACCACTTGGGACCTCCATAACTAACGGCATTCCAAAATATTCAAATATTGAAAATTTAAAATCAAGTACTTAACTTCAAATTTATTATTCCCAATGAACAGGACTGGACCAAACCACTGCTGTTGACGACCTGATGGCCTTGTCACTCTCCGGCGCAGAGGTGTCCTGTCTGTCCTGGACTTCTTATGATGACCTGTATAGCGCTTCAAACTCGGGCGCTTCAAACTCAGGCTCTTTCGACTCGGGCTCCCTAGACTTGGGCTCTAAAAGCTCCATCCCATTAATGGAGCATGACAATGAGGCACGGGAAATGTTGATACATAAACAGGAGGAAGAAATCCAGCGGCTACAGGAGATTAACAAGACCATGGCAGATCAGATACAGGCACTGACAGCCGAGAACACAAAAATGTCCAACCAGCTGGCAGATGTTCCTGATCTTCGTGAGGAACTCAGAGGATGGAGGGAGAAAGCTGAGGAATCTCAGAAAGTTCTATCGGAACAAGAGCGAGAAATCCAGCAGCTGCAGGAGACCAAGAAGAGCATGGCAACTAGAATAGAGGAACTGCTTCACAGGCTGACTTCTCTACAGCCAGGTATAAATCTAACTTTTATGATTAACAGCAGATACATGCATATGTAGTTAAGAATCTTGTCCCTTTCATCACCACCTCTTTCACGTAACTGCATCTGATTCAACAAGTGCTTAATAAGCTGTTCGTACATAAGTAATCATTTGTAATACATAATACAACTATACACATACATTTGTGGTGTATTAGTATATTACATGTAGGGTACTACTAATTTACTGATATGTGGAGTGTGCTGTTAAGAATTGTTGTTGTTCGTCATTCCTGACGATGACCAATGACATCACATCAGCTTCTGTTTTTCCGGCTGTGGCTGCTATACAGGCTCTGAAGGTTCTGCCACAGGTCGGTCACAGGTGGGTTGCAGGAGTTGCATGTAGAAGCGACTCCAATTAAACATTGCTAGCTGCACTCATCGAATCAAATTTTTTCCTCTGTTTCCTACACAGACGATTCGGAGGAAGCTGGCCTGAAGGATATAGCAGATAACTTGGGTATGTATAGAGGTTAGGCCACACCAATTTAATTTGTTGGTTCTCGGATTTTTTCAGAAAAAATATGAAGCGACAGGGCGAAAAAAATAAAAATAAAAACAGGTCTAGGCATCCTATTATAGCCCGAAATGCTACAATATGAGCCATGAAGTCAACAAAAAAGGCTGGGTTAAAATTTAAAGTATAAATTTTGAACTTTTAATCAAACCACTGCATTGATAGATGGAAAAAACTGTAACAACTAGGAAGAAAATGAATTTCCTCAACTGTTGGGGGCAAAATATGAGCATTTTTGAGTTGATTCAGAACCAGAATCTTTTTTTTTTTTTTGCAAATCAGAAAAAAATGAAGAGGCGAATCCGAGAACCAACAAATTAAATTGGTGTGGCCTTAGAATAGAAATACACTTAGTATGATGTGCTACATGTAGATATTAGACATTACTGGTTACGTGATATTATATTACCAAAATCACATGAATTGATAACGTGGACATAAATTTCATTCAAAGAGTACAGAAAAAGACATTTTGTATTATAGCAGAAATGGTATGGGATACTATCATATTATCAAAGTCACATGAATACTGACTTTGATAATTTTTTGACATTGTGTTTATTTCAGCTGTTGCAGCAATGGAGCTAAGAGAAAGTGACGAGGCATCACAGAAAGTTTTGTCAGAAGCAAGACTACAAATCCAGCAGGTACAGGAGACCTTCAAGAACGTGGCAGGCACAGTAGAGAAACTGACTCCCCAGGCTTCTTCACTGCCAGGTAAACATCTAACTTTTATCATAGACTGCAAAGATAATAGCCTGGTATCATGATTGCGGCTGTTGGGGTGTTCGGGCAGGTTGTGCCTTCGGGGCTCTAATAGCTTCCCCCGCCCAGTGCAATAGGCCGGCCTGTTACGCTAATAGAGGTAGTATCATTGGGGATTTGATAATAGTTATAATGTGGTAAGTAACTGCATTTACAAGAAGTTAATACTCGCATCAATGCAAATCTTCATAACCATAACTTCTACCATAAATTTGATGATTTTATTAATTCATGACCAAGGAACATACGGGGGGGGTGTAAGGGGCGGGGGTTATCCGCAGGGGGTTCAATGATCATGTAATGACATTTGCTTTTCACAGAGTTAAAAGTCCTTGGACAGAAACTACAGAGGGTGACATTTGGCAGAGAGGGATCAGGGCCAGGACAGTTCAAAAATCCATGGGGTGTTGCAGTGTCAGAGAAAGGGGAGATATTTCTAGCAGACAAGGAGAACCAGAGAATCCAAGTCTTCACCCTGCAGGGAACGTTTGTCCGACAGTTCCCAACAGTCGTGTCAGGTGAACAGAAAATGGACCCACATGATGTGGCCCTGGACGGGGAGGGGAACCTGTGGGTGGTGGGGGCGACAGACTCTGCTGACTTTGCTGTGCAGTATGACAAACAGGGCAGGATGCTGGGGAAGTTTGACCTACAGAAGACAGGGTGGGGGAGAGGAGTTGCAGTGGACACCAGGAGGAACCACATCCTCATCACACAAACCACAGGAGACTGGGACAACCAACACGGTGAAGGTTTGGTGTTCAGGCCAGATGGAACACTTGTGGGAACTGTGGGTCAGCAGCAGGGGATGAAGTACCCATGGTACATCACTGTGGACGGGAACATTCTTGTGTCAGACCGGCAGAATCACTGTGTCTATGTGTACAACGAGGACGGACAGTTTCTGTTCCAGTTTGGAGGTGAGGGAAGTGGTGAAGGTCAGCTGTGCCGGCCCCGTGGCATCTGTACAGACAGGGCAGGGAACATCATCGTGGCAGACACGGGGAACAGCCGCGTGGAGATGTTTGACAAGACAGGAAAATTCCTCAAACACATCGCTACAGACATGTGGGCACTTTGGGCTGTTGCCATGGCAACACAGGGACAGCTGGTAGTAACTGATTATGTGGAGCACAAAGTCAGCATATTCCAGGACTTCTGAATCTAAGTGAGGTGATAATAAATTTTAAAGCAACTTCCAACATAGTCTAAACCAATATGTCAGAATATCAATATTAGCAAAGGAAACTATCAGATAGCACAAAAGAAATACCTTTGAATAAACTGCCCAAAATGCCAGCCTAAAGGCCCCTGGCTTAGAACAAACTCTATACAAACTCAATACAAAGTGACATTATAAATGAGATAAAAAGCAAGTTGTCATTATACATTTATCTTAATACAATGTATTTAAACAAAATGTACTAGTATCCACATACCGGTAGTAGGAATAAAGCAGCTCTTGTTAAATATTGTTTGCTTTGGAGGCATCCGAGGTTTCCAAGGAAATATGTGCCATGATCTGTGAGTAGGGTGAGATAGGGTGAGGCTACTGAGTGCAACATGCTTTTTGTGTGAAAGTTGCCATTTTGGACGAACTATGAAATAATGATAATTTTTTTATTTCCTCTGATAGTAAATTGTAATAATCTGTTCATCACTTGTATGGTTAAGTAATGTTTTGCATTCGTAGTGTTCCTTATTTTGCCAAAATTCCCAAAGTATATGAGGGGTTAAATAATTTTGTACGCAACTGTATATGGGTTATTAACGCATAGGTTGCAATATGCTTTTGCTTGTATCATAAACCATTAATTCCATGTACCATATCTGCCATAAATATCTGTGAGTATAGGAGATGAATGTTATAATACTAGAGAGTATTTTGTAATATGCTTCTGTGAAGATTTTGTAAATTCTTCTGTGAATATTTGTAAATGCTTTCATGAAGATTTGTAAATACTACTAAAGATTTGTAAATGCTTCTTTAAAAAAGCTCCATGCAGATCCTAGGGCAATCAGCATCAAGGCAGTATCAAATTGGCCAGGCAGTATCCATTGGCCAGAGAGGGTCCATACGCCACCCAATCTGGCCAATTCGATACTGTCTTTTGTCGTGAACCCTAGGATCTGCTTGGAGATTATTTGTCAAGATTTGTAGATGCTTCTGTGTAGATTTCTAAATACTTTCGTGGAAGTTGATTTGGGGCTCACAGCGACACTCATGGCAACTTGTGACTGATGCCAGCTTTGTCACACATCATCGCCCTTTTCTCTAAATAAATTTCTATCAATAAAACTTTTCAAAAGTAAAGAGCCTGTTAATCATGTCTGTTCTGCACACAATTAACTCAATTCAATGTTGTTTCGAAGCACCACAGGCGATTCTGTATCCTTGAACATCATTCTTGTTGGAAGAGAAAGTCTCTCCAAGCAGAGGTTTGGGCTTTTTCATCAGGCTTTTTTTCTGTACAGGTATATATTTTTTTTTACCAGCCAAACTGCGGTGTAATGGATACTGCTTTGCTAAGTCGATACTGTCTTGTAGCCATAAGATGTGCTTGGAGATCAGGGAAGGAAATGTGTGTAAACATGTATCCAGTAACAATGTAACAATGTAGCAAACAGGTGACCAAAGCTGCTCATGTCTTTATTGAAGTCTCAGTTCTTCTGTGTCTCTTCACAAGACCCCAAAAATCACACTTTAAAAACATCAGAAAGTAAGATTTTTACCAATTCCATACTGGTTTCATTTTATGCTTTCTTTGTGAGGTACAAGAGACTCAAACATTCGAACATCCTCAAGTACAAAGTTCTAGTAAAGACAAAGAATCTGAGTGGTCAAAAATGTTAGAATTCACACAATTTATTGAACGTATACGTGGCAATAGAAAGACAGCATATTCTGTGTCAAGGAGGTAAAAAATTAAAACTCCTTGTACACGTGTAACACAGTTACTAGTAATACGTTATGTCCAACCCCCTGATGTTATCACGTGATCTGTCCCTTGTTAGTTCTTCTGTAGGGGAGAGTCATTACTGATGTGGGGTGAGGCAAGAGCCACTAGGCACTCAGGCCTAACAAAGACTGGTTACTACATGCACTCCAACACTGGGGTACTCACCCCTACACAGGAGTGGCACATTCCAACTCCTACACGACTTTCCATTGGACCTGGACTGTACCACTCCAGAATAGAGGTTTTTACAAATTCCAACACTGGGGTATTGACTGAACCCCCATACAAAAGTGGCACATTCCAACTCTCACACAACTTTCCATTACGTCTGGAATGTACCATTTCTGTACAGGGGGTTATACTAAGCTACTAGACAGTACAACTTACAAGCTTGTAAAAATTTCTTACATCTATGTGTGCAATAATAATTCTGTTAGGTGCCTTTTTTCCTTTATTTCAAAATAATAAAACATTGATAAAAAATCCTTCACATCCACACACCGACATGTCATCGCTAGCATATTTTTTGGTTTCTCGCAAAATTTTCTATCAGCAGAAAGACTAAAGCATGATGAGAATAGCACGAAAATCACACGTAAGGTCAAAGGTCAAAGCAGCAGCAGTTCTCTTATTGCTAGTAACTATAAGGATATTTGAGGATCGAACTATACAGATACAAGTGCCTCGCAGGGGTCCAAACTGTTACTCACCCCCATACAGAAGTGGCACATTCCAACTCCTACAGGATTTCCCATTGGACCTGGACTGAACCACTCCTGAATAGGGAGTGTTAGAAAATCAAACACGTCACTGGGTTTTTTTCTTTACAAATTCCAACCCTGAGGTATGGACTGAACCACCCATATAGAAGTGGCACATTCCAACTCACACACAACTTTCCATTAAGTCTGGAATGTACCATTTCTGTACAGGTGGTTTTACTGAGCTACTAGACAGTACAGTACACAGCCTGCGGTGGCCCACTGGATCTAATATTGGCCTACAGGTGACATGGGCTAGGCCAATTGAGATGGCATTAGTGAGTTTTTTCAACAAAGTCCAAAGCACACTCTTCGTCATTTCACAACAAACCGACCTTGGAAACCTGTGTCCACCTCGTAACCTTTTCCTTCAGAGGCCACACAAGTTCTGGTTCTAGCCACCCCCTCCCCAAGTTCCAATCCCCCCTCACAGTTTGGACCCCCCCCCCTCCATAGTTTGAACCCCCTCACAGTTTGGACCCCTGTTCTGCAGCGATGATATGACTTCCTACAATAATCTGACGTCTAACAAAGTCACGAACACAGAAAGCTGCCAAAGCCGATTTATTCATCCTCACAATCAAACAAAAAAACACCAGAAATTCAGGCAGTAGAAACTTCATCCACGGGACAGAACGTCACGACCAAATATGGACAAGCCCCGGAGTCAGAGGGCACAGCACCACTGTGGAATTGTGGGAGATTTTCATCAACGTGAATTTTTTTCGCCGTTTTTTTTTGGTGACCATTTTTAGTTTTTTTTCCCCACCATCCTTACTGAACCTTAACCTCTGACCCCAAGAATGACCCAACTTTCCTTACAGATTATATAGTTGTTTTTAGCGTTTCCTTTTTGGAAGTAGAAAATTTGTACATTTTGGTTCCTTCTATTAATGCAGCGACAAAAACTCTGACTGAATTCCTACAACAAAAAATCAACAAAACATCCGGCAAATTTTCCTCTGGAATTTTCCTTTCTCATGATTGCTGCTGACATTATCACCTGCAAACACCTGTATGCACCTGTATTTACCTGTGCAAACATGCACACCTGGCCAAACAGGTGTAACAAATCTTTTCCCTTTTTCTTCTTGTTTTTCATCCAACAAAAACTACAGACAGCCTTACAGGCCCGAATCAGAGGGACGACGTCCAATTTCCGTTTTTAGTTGTGCTTTTTTTTCCTTAAACAGTGATCCTACAAGTTCCTAGTTGTGTAAAGATATGCTAAGATTCACGCCTCTAACTTCCCTGCCTGACGACTACTGAGTCTTACTTTATTTTTGGTTTGTTATCATTCCCCCATGCAGTACTGCATGTAGCCACAAGGGGGCATCCTTACGTTTTGCTGTGAATTACGCCTCTAAAACGACTTTAAGTATTTTGGGACTTTCTTGTCAAATCATCAAAGACTTTGAACGATCTCAAACCCAGACGTTCCTAAACCGTGCCAGATCAAATTACAGTTGCTACGGAAACAGTTGCTACGGAGACGGTTGCTAACGGAGACACATTCTGATTGCCGAGTGCACAACTCTGAGAGAGAAAAGCTAAACGATGCCATTGGTAGAAAAATCCTGCTAAGTACACATGTAGACATGTACGACGTTTCCTAGCACGGTGGTTTAGTAACCACGGTGACGGTGTAACCTCTGGTTGCCACGGCGACGGTTGCCATGGTGACGTCAGTAGACCCAGGTGACGGGGACCCACTGCGGCTCGGTGCTGAGGCCGTCCACGGCGGACGCCAGCTTGTCGTAGCAGCCGTCCAGGTTGTCGTTGGTGATCTGCAGGTCGAAGAAGTGGCCGTACGCACGCTCCAGCCGCGCCGACTCCTCAACCGTCCTCTTCAGGTCATTGTCCTACAGGGCAAGGACATAAAGGTCAGGGGTCAGTACGGGTCAGGGGTCAGTATAGGTCAAGGGTCAGATCATTGTCCTGTAGGTCAACGACCTGGGCTCAGTTCAGGTGATTGTCACATATGAACAAACCAAATGGAGGCCAGAACTGTCATACCAAAACCCACAAACCTGGTATGTGCAACTGGCCTCATACCAGTACTCATAGCAGGGCAGGGTGCCAGTTTCCCAAACATACAAGTATAACAATCCACACCCAGTTCAGAGCTGTGCAACTGGCCAGGATAACCCACACACTTGTGACAGAGTAGTGTTAAAAAGTCAGTCCCAGGTCATACAATAGTAGCTGTGCAACTGGCCAGAATAACCGACATACATACTTCACACCAGCACATGTCATCCGAGCTGTAACAGTCAGTGATACACACCAACAGGCATGTAGCTGGCCTGGTTATACATGTACATGTTGGACACCCTTTGGGACAGAAAACTACATGCAAAGTCATGTTCTGTTCAAGAATTACGTGTCATTATCTTTTAAAGTTTCATGTCCTCTACCAATGGGGGTTGGGGGAGGAAATGTGCTAGCCCCAAGGGGGGTTGTTAGAATCAGGGGGG